CAGCACCACATACCAACAAAGATGTTGTGTCCGCCGAGAACTAAAAAATAAATATTAAAAAAAATTCTCTCTCTCTCTCTCCTCTCTCACTCTCTCTAAAAATAAAAATAAAAAATAATTTAAAAAAAACACTAAATGTGTAATGTAAAGCTGTAGAAATGGGGATAATCCCCATAACTTTCCCCTACTTGGCATAAACATCTGGATCAGATGTTATTCCTCTCATTCTTGAGTAAAGGAATGTAATACTGGATTGTAGAATTTATTAACAATGTAATAATGAACACAACCAAAAGCCTTCAGGTTAAATCCTCAAACATTGGCCCTTAGTGCATCTGCAGTCCCAGCTACTTCCAGAGGTTAAGGCTAGAGAAATATTTAAACTAAAGAGTTCAGTCCCAAATGGGGCAACATAATGAGACCACCCCCATCTTTTAAAAAAATGGCCCCCAATGTGTAAGTCCCATGTTTAATTATTAGCAATACAATCAATTCATAATGGTGAAAAATAGGATACCAAAAATTTGAGAGTTTAAAGAAATTATGAAGAATCTCAATGTTTGAATGAACCACATGTTCATTTTAAAACACAAAGTAATTTTAAAACACAAAGTAAAAAGAATAAACATTTTTCACATATCACTTTTTAAAATGATAATTCGTATTCTGCATTGGTAAGGTATCATAAGAATGACATTCCTACTATAAACTGCTGACTTTGGTACATATTGAAACACCCTTTCTGAAGGGCATTATGGCAGTAACTATCAAGCAGTTTTTAAAAATGCATACTCAATTTTTTAGATACTTTTTAAAATTTACATTGTAAAAAAAAAAAAGTTGCCCTTCTTTTAGAAATCTACTCTATAGAAATACACATAAAAAGCCTTATAGAAAAAAGAAAAGTGTTATTCATAAAAAATGTTCTTTTAGCCTTATTTTTAAAAAATTTAAATTACAAACCATGTAAGGGAAAGTTAAAAATACTACACATTACAGCACTATTAGTTTATTATCCACTCATTCAAAATCATGTTTTGGGACAGCAGTATAACTCAGTAGTAGAACATGTATTTAGCATATATGAAGCCCTTGATTTGATCCCAGCACTACAAAAAAAAAAAAAAAAAAATTCATGTTTGGAAGAACATTTTACAATACAGGAATCCTCAAAATATTGTCTTTCGTAATATTATAAATTGTTGGGTACAATAGTGCATGCTCGTAATCTAAGCAATTTGGGAGGCTGGAGCAGGAGGATCTAAAGTTTGAGGCCAGCCTCAGCAACTTAGAAAGACCCTGTCTCAAAATAAAAGATAAAAAGGACTAGGGGGCTGGGGTTGTGGCTCAGCAGTAGAGTGCTTGCCTAGCATGTGTGAGGCACTGGGTTCAATCCTCAGCACCATACAAATATAAAGAAATAAAGTATTGTGTCCATCTACAACTAAAAATATTTAGAAAAAAAAAAAAAGGACTGGGATGTAGCTCAGTGGTAAGCATCCCTGGGTTCAATCCCCAGTACATAATAATAATAATATAAATTTACACATAAGTATATTAATTTTCTTAATACAGAAAAACTGAGAAGTTTTGTTTTGATTTTTAGATCATGAGTGATTTTACTTTATTCCTTGTGATTTACTGTGTTCTCTAGATTTTTCTGCTATTAATAAGTATTGTTTTTGAAATTAGGGGGGAGGGTTTTAAAATTAAAAAAAAAAGATCTGAAATGAAAATAAATATTGTAGTTACCTATTTGTTGATCTGTGCTCACCAGAAGATAGTAAACATATGGCTGAAGACATGAACTGAATAAATGAATTAAATACATTAGCCTGACATTTGTTCCCAGCAAAACTGGGATGGAAAAACAATTTACATTTGATTTTTACTGAAGGCAACGCTTTTAACCGATGACTACATCTTTTTGAGACCCTTTTCTTTACCCCATAATGTGCCATAACTAGGGTCCACACAAAGATTGAAGTAAAGATTCTGAAGGAAAAAGAAGCAAAAGGGACCGAACAGGGGCTGGGGCTCCATGGCAGAGTGCTTGCCTAGCACGTGTGAGGCACTGGGTTCGATCCTTAGCACGGTATACAAAAATAAGCAAATAAAATAAAGGCATGCTATCCATCTACAACTACCAAAAAAAAAATTTTTTTTAAAGGGACGACACAGGGCTAGGGTTGTGGCTCAGTGGTAGAGCACTTGCCTAGGATGCGTGAGACACTAGGTTCGATCCTCAGCACCACATAAAAATAAAATAAAGGTACGTGTCCACCTACAACTAATAAGTAAATGTTAAAAAAATGTTTTTTATTGGTTGTTCAAAACATTACAAAGCTCTTGACATATCATATTTCATATATTATTAAAAAATGTTTTAACAAAAGGCGGATCGAGAGGCTGGGGTTGTGGCTCAGTGGTAGCGCGCTCGCCTAGCATGCGTGAGGCACTGGGTTCGGTCCTCAGCACCACATAAAAACAAAATAATGTGTCTGCCTAAAACTAAAGATACATAAATAAATAAATGTTTTTAAAAAGGGGGGATCGAACAACAATTATGATATTATCTAATGACTCCCCCGCCCTTTTTTTTTTCCAAAAAGGCCATTTCTTAGCTCTGTTTCAGGACGCAAAGAGACAACTCCTTCCACCAACTCCTCTGAGTCTCTGAGTAAGTCCCAAAAGCTGTACCTTTCTTTCAAGACTTGTCGGTGAGTGTCGTGTGCACTGGTCCCAACAGAAGGGAAGGTAGAAGACGAATGAGGAAAATATCGAGAAACTAGAGAGTCTACGCTAAAGCTAAAAGGAATTGGCACGCCACAAAGTGCAACGCATAAGTGACAACTCGGCCTTCTCTCCTGACCTTCAGTTCTTAAATCCTCTGCAAAAGGAGACGGGGCTCTGCCCCGGCCATTCACTCACCGAACCCCGTGAAGCCCATGGTAACTGCCAGCTCTGGGTCGGGTCCCGACGCGTCTGAGCCTGTCACTGTGGCAAGAAAAAGAAGAGGAGCTCCCGTTAGTGCGGCGCCCGGCACCAGGGACAGCACGCCCACCCACCCCGGCTCGCCTTGCCGAACGCACCTTCGCTGGGCCCCGAGCGCTCCATGGCAAGCCGCACAGAGAAACGTCCTGCAGCTGCAGCCCACACCGGTGCCGCACTCAGCCTGCAACCGCGGAGGAAGTCTCGCCTCCGAGTGTCAGCGATGCCGCAACGCCAAGAGCGGCGCCTTCCGCAAAGGCAAGGAGGCTTCCCGAACAGCGCCGCCCTAGCGGGAGGGCGGGGAAGCACCGCTCGAGCGGCCAGCCAGCTCAGTCCACTGGTGGGAAAAATGATTTGGAATTTCTCTAAAACCCATGACTCTTTTTTCTTTTTTTTCCTCCCCGACTACTGGAGATTGAACCCAGGAGTGCTCTACCTTTGAGCTACATCGCAGCCTTTTTTATTTTATCAATGAGACATGGTCTCATTGAGTTGCCAGGCTGGTCTCCAGCTTGTGATCCTTCTGCCTCTGTCTCCGGAGTGACTATGATTACTAAAGTGTTCCACTAACCGGGGCAAAACCGTTGACTTCTTCAGATGAGTTCGCTGCACAGATGAAAATCCTCACAGAATATAAAAAGAAGTCAACAATCTCCTGTTCTTTGTGTTTTAGCCTTCTTTATGACAAAATTCCCACAGTTCTCTAATTTTAAATATTTCTTAAGGAAGAAAGGAGTACTATCTCCTCCATTACCCAAGAGTACTCAAAAGAAATTAAAAAAAAAAAACCCGCGTGACTATGAGTTGTCAGAAAACGCTCTCAAGCTCCTGACCTTAGTCAAGCTTAATTCTTGTTTACAGAGCAGAGCAAGGGTCCCAAAACGATTTTTGCGTATATTTATTGTATTTCCAATTCCCATTGGCTTTGATTTCTTTACAATTTGACTCCCTATCCATACTATGATTAACGGTATATTATTTATCCTTATATTTCTGAAATTTACTAAAGCTGTGTGTACTCCTAATAAATTGTTGAATGAAAATGCATTCATAAAGGTACTCATTAGCCCCACCTGAGTCTCCTAACTCAGATTATGCTTTATCTGTACACACTAAATGATAATGATCAAGCCTAATATAATTTCCATTGTTCTTAGAATAAATATAAAAATTATTAACATGGGGGCTAAGGATGTTCCTCAGGGGTAGAGCCCCTACTTAGCATGAACAAGGGCCTGAGTTTGATCCCCAGCACCAAAAAAAAGTTATTATCTTGGCCTCCAAAACTTTCATGCACTTCTGACTTCATTTTTTACTATTTTCCACCACATCAGCCTTCTTTTAGTTCTATATGCAGTCTCAAAACACAGTGCATATATAATTTGAAACAAAGTAGGGCTTCATCTAGAGATTACTTAACTCAATGTGAACTTCAATAAATAAGGCTAATTCATTTTACTTTTATAAAAATAAGTTTCGTAATGCCAAGCCTGAGTACAGCTATGCAAGCATCAGTTACTTAAACAGAACTTTGTGAATACAGTTTGTTATTAACCCACACCCTTACCTATAAATAGCTATTTCAGTTTAGTAGTCAAGGGTGGTAGGTGAAGCATTGAGATGATATATAAAATTTTAGACTACAAAGTACTAGAGAAAGGGAAGAGAGGTATCAATCAGTAGGAACAGCTATTCATGATCATTAGAGAAAAGTCACAAGAAGATGTATTTGCTTTTGATAAAGAATACAGGTTCTGTGGTGCACACCTGTAATCCCAAAGGCTCAGGAGCCTGAGGCAGGAGGATCATGAGTTCAAAGCCAGCCTTAGCAACAGAGAGGTGCTAAGCAACTCAGTGAGACCCTATCTCTAAATAAAATACAAAATAGGTCTGTGGATGTGGTTCAGTGGTTGAGTGGCCCTGAGTTCAATCCTGGATATACAAAAAAAAAAAAAAAAAGAAAGAAAGAAAAAGGCAATAATTGCACTAGCAGTGACTTCTACATTAAAGTATTTATTTGTGTGAAACAAATTCATAATCATAACTTTTAAGTGTAACAGGGCAAATTTGATTTTCTTGGAGCAAATGAACTTAATTTATATATTAATCAAATATTTAAGAGGTAATATAGTGTTACATAGATGAGTTCAATAACCACAATGTCTAGGTTTAAATCCTGTTTGTTTTGTTTTCAATACTGGGGATCTAATGCAGGGCTCTGACATGTCAGGCAAGTATACCACCACTGATTTATATCCTCAAGTCCTTTTTATTTTAAGATGGCACCTTGCTAAATTGCCCAGACTCACCTTGAACTTGGGATCCTCTGCTTCACCCTCCCAAGTAGTTGAGATTTTGTAGGTGCACCACCATGCCTGGTTTTGATTAAATAATTTTGGGTGAGTTGGCCTCTATGTACTTCAGTTTATTCATCTGTTAGGTAGATAACAATAGCACTCATCACATTACAGTTTTTTCTGGTGATTGAATGAGTTAATCCTCATAAAAGAATTAGAATAATGTCTGGGATATATTACACACTCAGACACAAAGCATTACAATTTCCATTCTAATAAAAGAGATTTTTTTAAAACCTAAATACCTATCAGAAGCTTAATAAGATTCAGTCAACTTAAAATCAACAATAAAGGAAGCTACTTGAGCAGTGATTTCAGTGTGAGCTGAAGACCTGCTTAAGGATGTCCATGAGATCAAAACTATTTTCATAAAAACGCGAAGACATCATTTACTTTTTTGACTCCATTGACAATTTCACTGATGGTGATATTAAAAAATAAAGTGAGACACATTTAAATATGAGAATTTATTTCAGCAAACAATGATTAATAAATTGGGGGGCAGGAGACCACAAGCCCTTCAGGTCTTTGCCCAAGGGGCACAAGGGAAAGGCTTTTATGGGAGAGAACACGGGACTAGAGCACAGAAAATATTTGACTTGTTAAACTGGAGCAGTAGCCTTATTTGAATCATTCTAATGAAAAGTCTCATTTAAGAAGAAAATTAACATTAAACAGGGACAAGAGGTGGGAGGGAAAGGGAGAGAGAAGGGAAATTGCATGGAAATGGAAGGAGACCCTCATTGTTATACAAAATTACATATAAGAGGAAGTGAGGGGAAAGGGAAAAAAAAACAAGGGAGAGAAATGAATTACAGTAGATGGGGTAGAGAGAGAAGAGGGGAGGGGAGGGGAGGGGGAGAGGGATAGTAGAGGATAGGAAAGGCAGCAGAACACGTCAGACATTAGTATGGCAATATGTAAAACAGTGGATGTGTAACCGATGTGATTCTGCAATCTGTATACGGGGTATAAATGGGAGTTCATAACCCACTTGAATCAAATGTATGAAATATGATATGTCAAGAGCTTTGTAATGTTTTGAACAACCAATTAAAAAATTTTAAAAAATAAATTAATAAAAGCATACCCTGAAAGTAAAATAAAATGTAAAATATAATATGGAAATTAGTGGAAATAGTAGAATAAGGATCTCCGGAAATCTGTTCCTCCATAAAAGCAATGAGAATATTGTTAAAAAACATTGTCAGAATCAACTGTTTCAGAACTCTGAAATTAACCAAAGAGTTGCAACAATAAAGGATCAATTATTTAAAAAAAAAAAAGAAAGAAAAGTCTCATTTAAACTTTAGTTGGCAATTTGTGATTACTTAAGCTCAAGAGGTCTCTAGTTTGGAGTCAGCAAATTTCTGATTGGTGTCAAATGTGACCGTTTACACTGAGTTGAGTTTTGCTTTGTGAATGTAAGAACTCAGGGAAGTCAAACTACCTCAGTCTAGTGGCCTTTTCTTTTTTCAATAGCAATATCTTTTTATTTTTATATTGTAGTTGTAGATGGACAATATGCCTTTGTTTATTTTTTTTAATGTGTTGCTAGGGACTGAACCCAATGCCTTATACATGCTAGGCAAGCACTCTGTCACTGAGCCACAGGCCCAGCTCCAGTCTAGTGGTCTTCTAATTAATAATTTTAAAGGTGGGTAAAACTACTAGATCCATAACATAAATCAAGGGAGTGGCAAGCAAAATGCTATAGTAGTCACTGTATTTTTTGTTACATATCTACTATAAACGAAACCAGTTTCCCTTAATAACATGCTTAATAAAGCAATAAGCATTAATTTTATTAAATCTTTATGCTTGAGTGTATGTCTGTCTAATACTTAGGTGGTAAAACATAGAACACGACTAAGACATCAAAATATGATGGTCCTCTAAGAAGAAAATCACTTGTATTTGGGTTGTTAGAATTTTAATGAACCACCATTTTCGCCTGATATGGTGACTCACAAAGTATAGTTATTCAGATATACGTATTTAGGAAATATTTTCTCCAGAATTAATGAAATGAGTTTGTCAATTCAAGGAAAATGACTGTACTTGTTACCAACAGAATTAGAATTTTCAAGAGAAAACTGGAAACTTCAAAAACTCAATAGCCACAAAAGATCACAAGAGAAGAAAAGAAAAGAAAACTCAATAGCTCCCTTCAGTTTGACAGTTTCAAAACTTTTTTTTTTAATATTGGGGATTCAACCAGTGTTATTTTGTTGTTGTTGTTGTTGTTTTGTACTGGGGATTCCCCCAGTGTTTTTAATTTTTATTTTGAGACAAGATCTCTCAAAGTTCAGACTGTTCTCAAACTTGCAATCCTCCTGCCTCATTCTCCTGAGTCACTGGGATTAGACATAGCACCACAACTAGCCTTAATTTTTTGTATAAGATAGGTAATGATATTAACATGATAACTTTTTCTTTTGGTTAATTAAATATGTCAACATTGGAAGTTCTGCAGAACTCAGTGAACCAATATTTCCCAAGTAATCAGCACATAATATACAGAATCATGTGGGGATAAAACATCAATTCAAAGTACAAGACAGACCAGTGGATTTTAATTTAACTAAGAACAAAAAGAACTCACTGGGGCTGGGGTTGTGGCTCAGTGTTAAGGTACTGAGTTCAATTCTTAGCACTGCATATAAATAAATAAATAAAATAAAGTCCATCAACATCTAAAAATACATATTTTAAAAACTGCTAAAAGTGTTTTTTAAAAAAGAAAAACTCACTGATGGGAGCGAGGGAGGGTATATGTCACTGACAGTTTCAAATTCCACATCGCAGCTAATCTTTAAGAAACACCACTTGTAAAGTCTGATCCAGTGCCAAAGAATATTCACAAGTGTCTAAAGGGCTATTAAAATCCTTCTTTTTGGGGCTGGGGATATGGCTCAAGAGGTAGCGCGCTCGCCTGGCATGTGTGCGGCCCAGGTTCG